AACAACTCTATATATTCTAGATTTAACACCTGTAAAGCTCCATCCATGACAGCCTTTAGTTACCTGTATTAGAAAAATTTAGGAATCAATTCACCCTTCTCTTAGCCATAGAACCACTAAATTTAAGCTTTACTTCTGTTACATGAAATCCTTTAAAAACAATTTTTTTCCCAAAACCTTTCTGTTTCCAGAGCTATCTTAAAAAGTTCCTGCTAGGAGGTATGTAAAAGTTATAATCCTATCCTTCCTTTTTAAAATATCATTACTGGCATTTATGAGTTAAGGCTTTTTGCATAGGATTCAAACCACAGTGCTAAATTTACCTTTTCAAAAGAAAAATAGCTATCAAAGTTGTTTTTTAAAAAATCTAATTATACACCTGTTACTAGGACACCTGCTACATTCATTCTTTTAGAGAAGGCACCATGACAATTTGGAAAAGCAGCTCAAAAGCGCTTAGACAATCCTCTGGATTGAAGGGACCCTTCTGACTCTGAATGCAGTAAAGTTGGTGACTGTACCTGGCAGAAGACCACCTACTCTGAACCTCAGGCAAAGCTCTCCCCATTGCAGACAATGCTTACTGGTAGTCCCATCTCATGGGACAGTCTCTCTCCCTGGTCTCTGAATCACTTACAACTTGAGTTACAGAAGTGATGATTCCAGTCACTGTCCAGATAAACTGAGGCATAAACTGGGTATAAAGCTGGGAATCTGACCACTTTCTTTTTTTTTGGGGGGGGGTCCAGTCGTGGGGCCTGAACTCTGGGCCTGGGCGCTGTCCCTCAACTCTTCAGCTCAAGGCTAGCGCTCTACCACTTGAGCCACAGCGCCATTTTTTTTCATTTTGCTTATGTGGTGCTAAGGAATTGAACCCAGGGCCTCATGCATGCAAGGCAAGCACTCTATCACTGAGCCATCTTCCCAGCCCCGGAATCTGACCACTTTCTAAACAACCTCCTTAGGTTGTTTTATGTACTCAAAGGTAGCTAAGGCCACTGCTCCAAATATAGCTACAGTACAACTGACTTTAAGAAAAACTATTTCATTGCAAATGTCCACTATTATAATCTTATTTTTAAAAAATTGATCACAAATAATCTGTATACTCATAACAAATCTGTCTTCGTTATGCTCCTTATCCCTTGACTAGAAGTTTGTTGTAAGCTAGAATAACACAGCCCATACTGACAATCTTTGATGAAAACCTTAAATCTTCCTGAATTACACTCCAAAGTTCTACAGAAAAAAAGAAGAGGTCTATGAATACTCTCATGTAAGTTACACATCATTTTTTTTTAAACATTAAAAAAAAAAAAAAAACCCTTCGTATTTTATTGCTTTCTCCTGGGCAGAATTCAACCTGCTTTCTCTAGAAGTCATCCATTCTTACACATTCATCCAAACTCACTCTATTGAAGGCACCATTTTTATAAAGTAAAACACTGTGTGGAACCTGCTAACAAAACTGACTACAAGTACAAAGCAGTGGTTCTGTTCCTGTTGGTCCAAAGTGAGTAAAAGGAAAAAAAGACAAAAGAGAATAAAGCATAAACAATATGTTCAGGCAATTTTATAATGTATATAATGTTTGTGTTAAAACAAATTTTGGGCTGTGGGTGTAGTTCAGTGGAAGACCACTTGTCTATCATATGCAGAACCCTGGGTTCCATTTCTAGCACAAACAACAACAAACCTTTGTTTTGTATACTGCTAAAAAAAAGGATGACTCCACAGATGCTTTATCAACATACATGATAGATTGCTCTCACAGTGTACTAGAAAGGATTCTCAGAAAAAAACACTCAGAAATTTAATTTCATTATTTTGAAATATTTTCAAACTTGGCATCATTTAACTTCTTGTAAAATGAGTTAATAGGAGGTTTTGGAAAGTATGTTAACAGGAATGTGCTCTGCATGCCATCTGGAATGTGCAAATTAACAGGGAGGAGAGGGGAAAGGCTGAGCAGAAAGCTGACTCCCACATGTGTGGCTGACCTACAGAAGGCTGGAGAAGTAACAAGTTAAGATATTTTTTGAAACTTGGCCACAAATTTCCCCAGGACTATTTATAGACAGCAGTAAAAGGCATCTTTTATTGGGGGGGGGGGGGACTGACATAAAATCACCAATTTACTATTGAGAGAGAAAAGAGACCAAAGAAAACTAAGAACCCCCAAAGAAAAATTTGGACTTCCTCAGGGTAATTAAACCAAAGTGATTCCTTTATAAAATATAAAATATCAAATGAATTTAAATAGCAAAATCCTAACACTTTATTAACTCATAGAAAAGAGAAACAGAGACAGAGAGACAGAGAGATCTCACCATGAAAAGCAGTTACTTTGGACAATTATACTGGAATCTATGTATCCACTTGTAAAATGCATTAAAAGCTAAGCATCTCTGTGTCAGTAAGGCCTGTGAGAAGGGTTGAACCCGTAGAGAGTATAGGCCACCTTTGAAAATACACCAAAATTTTGGAAACAAGGCTTCAATTTATTAGTCAAAGCCTGGCATCAATCATAAGCAAGTGAATTGTTTATGAAGCACGCTAGAATTTTTCTAAAATGTAAGGAAAGGAAATAAAATAGCAAGGACTTAAAAGACAAGATGATGGGGCTGGGAAGGTGGCTCTAATGGTAGAATGCTTGCCTTGTATACATGAGGCCCTGGGTTCAATTCCTCAGCACCACATAAGCAGAAAAAGCCGGAAGTGGCACTGTGGTTCAAGTGGTAGAGCTTAGCCTTAAGCTGAAGAACTGAGGGGCGGCGCCCAGGCCCAGAGTTCAGGCCCCACGACTGGGGGTGGGGGAACGACAACAAGATGGTACAAAAGTATGTAAAATGTCTGGAATTAATTTGAGACTTAGCAAAATACTTGAGTAGTAAAGTATTAAACAAAAGAAAATCTCTGATAGAGATCTTAAATGCAAGAAAGGTCTATCTTTCTATCTTCTATTCATACTTCACGTGTATAAAATTTTCACTTAGACTGACTAAACTCTACTTCCCTTCAAAATCAAATTATTTCAAATATTAATGTATATATAAATGTATATATAAATACTTGTAGGCACCTTTTAAACTCCAAAATCCATGGTAACTCAAAGGAAAAAGCAACTATTAGATAAAACTTTTCCATCATATAATCAAAGTGAAGTAAAACAAAAGAATTCTTAGGTAATTCTAGATATAGTCTATATTTGGGTAAGCCCTAGTTATTTAAAGCTACACAACTAAACAAAAGAAAAATTAAATAAAGAGTAAATAAAATGAGCAATTTTAGCTTCAATATTATAAACATAAAACAATGCATAGGATACAAATAGTTGGCATAAAGACCCTAAATCAGCTATTTAATTATCAATTGTTGATAGGCCATACAAAATTGAACATGGTGACAGCAATATTCAGGAAGGTTATTAATTCATAATGAAGTTGTAAAAATGCAAAATCTCAAAAACAGAACTTTTCAAAGAACAATCTGTGAGAAGGTGAGTACTGGCTTACTTATATAGTATATAAACCTCTAGTAAATCTGACCATGACACAAGTTCCAGTGACTTCTCAAAGGTCACGTCGTTTATTTAAATTCAGCTTTTTCCTTAAGGTATCCAGTTCAAACTTTTCCTCTGAGCCACTCTGGCCTTTTAAGGCATATCTTGCCTCTTTTCTAGAAAGAAGCTATAAGAATTATTAAAAAAAAAAAAAAAAAAAGCGGGCACTGGTGCTTTAACGGACATGGTTCAAAGCCAGCTGGGGCAGGAAAGTCCATGAGACTCTTACCTCCAAATTAACCAACAGAAAACCGGAAGTGGCATTGTGGCTCATGGCTTGCTAGTCTTGAGCAAAAAGCTCAGGGACAGCCCCAAGTTCAAGCCTCACAACAGAAAGAAAGGAAAGAAAGGAGGATGGGAGGGGAGGGGAGGGAGGGGAGGGAAGGGAAGGAGGGAAGGAAGGAAGGAGGGAAGGAAGGAAGGAAGGGAGGGAAGGAAGGAAGGAAGGAAGGAAGGAAGGAAGGAAGGAAAAAGAAAAGGAAGTTCAGCTGGGTGGGCTTCAGTGGCTCACACCTGTAATCCTAGCTACTCAGGAGGCTGAGATCTGAGGATTGCAGTTCAAAGCCGGCCTGAGCAAGAAAGTCCATGAGATTCTATCTCCAATAAACCACCAAAAAACCAGAAGTAACACTGTGGCTCAAGTGGTAGAGTGCTAGCCTTGAGCTGAAGGATAGTGCCCAGGCCCAGAGTGCAAGCCCCACCACCGACAAAAAAAAAAAAAGAAAAGAAAAAGAAGTTCGACAAAACCACTGGCCTATCAGGTAAAAGACCTTACATTCCAGAGTATGGCATATTAAATTACATAATTTTTCTAGGTTTTACAGCAAATAATTCAAATACTACAAAAGTTTAATAGCATGATAGCATAATTTTCAGCTGTTCTTTAGTTTTGAAGCTTTCCCAAATTATGTAAACTTTAAAAACAAAGAATCTTTCTGAATAAGGTATAGGCTGAACACTGGTGGCTCACACCTGTAATCCTAGCTACTCAGAGGCTGAGTTCTGAGGATCGCAGTCTGAAGCCGATCTGTAAAGGAAAGTTTGTGAGACTCTCATTTCTAATTAACCACCAAAAAGCCAGCAGTGGAGCTCTGGCTAAACTAATAAGAATACTAGCCTTGCGCAAAAAGGCTCAGGGTCAGGAATCAGGCCCTGAGTTCAAGCCTCAGAACCAGCATTAAAAAAAGGGGGTGGGGGAGGCAAGCTATAAAGAACTAAGAGCTTTTACCCCAGAAGAGCCTCCACTGCACTTCTTCCCCTTCATGTCTGTGAAAGCATAGATTCAATCTTAAAAGGCACTACGTGGCACACAGAAGCCTTACAGGCTACATTTCCATTTTTTCCTGTAGCTTTTCCCCATAAAGTGCACAAAGCAGAAAGTGGTAAGCAATAGACATAGATGTGGAAGTGCTTCCAAGAGGAATGGAAGTGTGCTTAAGAATTTGAAAACACAGGAAAGGTCACATCATTTATTACAGTTCCCTGTTTCAGCTCTTCCCAGACAGTCCCAGACCTGCCATTCCTCTGGACCTGGACCCGTGGTGGCAGTGGCAGAAACCAGAGAACTAGGGGCCAGCAGGGCTCTTGAATCTTGTAGTTAAGATGCTATTGAGATTTTTTATCCACAGGTGGTCGTCCAACAACTGCATCCCTCACAGCAGCCTGAGTAGAATTACCAAAATGAGCAGAAGCCTGCAAAATTCCATTTATTCAACATATTAGTTAATAATATAACAGTACCAAAAAAGCAAGTGCTTGGAAATAATGCTCAAGTATCCTCTCCATCATCATCAGCCCACTATAGAAGCAGAGGCGTGAGAAGGAGGGCTGCAGGAGAGCTGTGGCCGCAGCTGACTAAGAGTCAGTGGGACATCTGCTCACAGGCTTTAAACACTGACCTAACTGACCTAACTGATCTTTTCACAGAAAAAGAAATAGTCTCAAAACTGTAAAACAGGGGATCATATGAATGTTAAAAGCCGTTGGTTTTTTAGAAGACTTAAAATGGAGATGGCATCCATTTTCTAACCCAGTAGGATTAAAATAAAACACTTCATTAAGTTTACTTTTTTTCAAGCTCTTGATGTTCAGGGAAGCAAATAAGCAAGGGGATAGAGATGGGGAGACTAATATCAATATTAAGTGTAAGAGCATTTAATCAGAAATTTCTCATGAAGAAACATCTGGAACCTCTCTTGCATTGAAAGTCATTTTTAGGGATGTTAACAAGATATTAGGAACAAATATTAATAGTCTAGATAAAATGTAAAGCTCATCAGGATAAAAATAAACAATGTAGGGCTGGGAAGGTGGCTCAGTGGTAGAGCGCTTGCCTTGCATGCCTGAGGCCCTGGGTTCAATTCCTCAGCACCACATAAGCAGCAAAAAGCCAGAAGTGGTGCTATGGCTCAAGTGGTAGAGTTCAGCTGAAGAGCTGAGGGACATTGCCCAGGCCCGGAATTCAGGCCCCATGACCGACAAAACAAAACAAAACAAAACAAAACAAAACCCGGGCTTCATGTAAGCTAGGCAAGTGTTCTATCACTAAGCTACATCCCCTTCCCCAATCTGAGATGTTTTACAACAAAAGCACAAATAAATATCTGCCCATCATCCACCCAGCCTCCTCAACCAGCACCACTTACCTGCTCTAACACATATGCTGCACCAAAATCAATAGCTCCACCTAGCTCTCGATATTGACCGGAATATCTGATGTACCCCCAGGTGAGGAGGGCTATTAGCAGTAGGCCAAGCATGAAGTTGAACAGCTGGGCCACAACCTCCAGACCAATGAAACCAGTGAGGCCTGAGGCTATATACAAAGCCACAATGCCTGTGAACAGCACTGCTGGGGTTCGGAAGGTGCTGAAGACATTCTTGCTACCATTGTGCTTGCAGAAGTTCTCAAACAGCTCCTTAATTTCTTCCTCCAGCTCCTGCTGATAACGAAAGCTGAAATCCTTCCCGCCCATCTTTTTGGTCTTCTTAAATTGGTCCAAAGCAAGTTGCCTATATTCACAGTGCTTCTGTTCTAAAATGTCTGGAGACAAATAAGGTTTCTCTCCCCCACAAACCTAAAAATAACAAAGATATGCTATAAGCATCCCCTTCAAGTGCCAAACAAGTAAAAAGATACAGAAAGGGTTAGAATGTTTTAAGATATTAGATGTTAACTAGAGGCAAGCCTAGGCTATCACAGCAAGGTTGTTTCAAACACACACACACACAGATACATGCACACACAATCCAAAGATAGCCAAGTCCAATGAAGTCTGAGCTCACTTCCTCTAATAAGCATACTTAAATAACCAGGTTACATTAATCAGAAAATCAGGAACATTCTAAGAAAGCCTGGTTAGAAAGGGTAATCATTAGGAGACTGCAAACAAAAGATAACCTGAAAACACATTGTTACCATATCATCTTCAGATACTTTAAAGAGGATCAAGTTCAGGCTTTTGAAGCCTGCAGCAATGCTCAGGGCTACAGGTAAATCAGAGAAAAGGCAGATGCCTCATACCGCTTCCATGTTGTTATAATAAACGTCCTTTGCAGAGGCTGCAGCTGCTAAATTGTTGGCTTCAGCGGTAGCCTTTAAAAAAAAAAAAAAAAGAAAACATTTTCCCACAAATAGTGAGGTAAAAACCTTTTCTCAATCTACATTCCATTCATCCTAAAACTTTCTGGTATTTTTCTTTTAGGTTTCCAATAAAGTTCAACAGATTAAACACATTTTTTCTACCAAAACATCTGTTCTCAAACCTTAGAATCTTTAGCAAAAATTAAGTTCCAAAACTTAAGGAAAATACAATTTCCTTGCTTCATTTTTTTTTTTTGGCCAGTCATGGGTCTTGAACTCTGGGACTGGGCGCTGTCCCTCAGCTTTTCAGCTCAAGACTAGTACCCTACCACTTGAACCACAGTGCCACTTCCAGCTTTTTTTTCTTTTTGCTTATGTGGTGCTGAGGAATCAAACCCAGGGCCTCAGGCATACAAGGCAAGCGCTCTACCACTGAGCCACCTTCCCAACCTCTCTTTGCTTCAATTTTAAATGCATAAAATATACGCAAAGTTTTGGCTGGTGATATAGCTCCATGGTAGAATGATTACCTAAAATATGCCAAGCCTTGGCACATTCAATGCCAAGCACCACAAAAGAACCCAAAAACAAAACCTGCCAGTGGCTCACACCTGTAATCCTAACTACTCAGGGTGCTGAGACTGAGGATTGCAGTTTGAAGCCAGCTTGAGCAGTAAAGTCTATGAGACTCTTATCTCCAATAAACTATTCTGGCTCTGTGGCTCAAGTGGTAAAGTGCTACCCTTGTGCAAAAAGAAGCTCAGGGAGGGGCTGGGAAGGTGGCTCAGTGGTAGAGTGCTTGCCTTGCACGCCTGAGGCCCTGGGTTCGATTCCTCAGCACCACATAATCAAAAAGAAAAAAGCCGGAAGTGGCGCTGTGGCTCAAGTGGTAGAACGCTAGTCTTGAGCTGAAGAGCTGAGGGACAGCACCCAGGCCCAGAGTTTAGGTCCCACGACTGGACCCCCCCAAAAAAAAGAGAAGCTCAGGCCCCAGATTCAAGCCTCAGGACATGCAAAAAAGATGTAAAAATGAGTACATAATTGCCTGCACTGATGGCTCATGCTTTCAATCCTAGCTACTCAGGAGGCTGAGATCTGAGGATCACGGTTCAAAGCTAACCCAGGCAGGAAAGTCCGTGAGACTCTAATCTCCAATCAACCACCAGAAAACTGGAAGTGATACTGTGGTTCAAATGGTAGAGCAAATAGCCTTGAGTTTAAGAGTGAAGGACAGCACCCAGGCCCAGAGTTACAAGCCCCATGACCAACAAAAATAAATAAATAAATAAATAAAAGCAGGGACTGGGAGTGTGTCTTAGTGGTAGAGTGCTTGACGAGCATGCATGAAGCCCTGGGTTTAATTCCTCCGTACCACATAAATAAATTTAAAACAAAACAAAACAAAATATGATCTCAATGCCAGGATCTAATAACTTTGGTGAAAATGTTTTTTTGCTACTAAAGAAATTGTTATTTTGGTAATACATAACCCTCATATTCAGCAAGTCAGAAAGTATGTTTTCATCAAATGAGATGTTTTCGTTGAAAATAAAAAACCTAACCAGTGAATCTAAATAGATATCATACACTAAAGTAAGTGCAGATGACTGGAAGCTACTGGGATAAACTTCACGTTGGTATAATGGAGGCAGTGTTTTCCAGAGTGTGTCTGGAGGCAAGAACAGGCCCAGGGAGAAGCTGTTAAACTAGGAGGGGTGCAGGGTTAGGAATGTGGCTTAGTGGTAAGAGTGTTTGCCTAGCATGCATGAATCCCTGGATTCAATTCCTCAGTACCACATAAACAGAAAAGGCTGGAAGTAGTGCTGTTGCACAAGTGGTAGGGTGGTAGCCTTGAGCAAAAGAAGGTCAGGGGCAGTGCCCAGGCCCTGAGTTTAAGCCCTAGGGAATGGCAAAACAAAACAACAACAACAACAACAAAAACCCACCAAAATAAAAACTATGAGAAGTGCTCCACTGCCACAAAAAGTGTTGAAAGCAAAAGACCTTTGCATAATGAGCAAGGACAGTGAGCTTACTGTCTTCTTAGAGTACTTGGCTTTTTCATATCTGGGGTCAATTCAATTTAAAAAGACTGTCATTTAGGATATCAAAAAACTGATTACCTGAAGCATGGATTTGGGGTGAGGCAGATCTTCTCCTTGGTAAATTTTAATATATGCCTTAAAATATAAACATAAAAATCATTATGAAAATATATTCTAATATACTTTATTCATACTTTAAATTTTGGAAACAGCAGTTATACAACTACATTTTCCAAAGGACCTAAAACAATCGGGAATTAGCAGAAACACAACACACCTTTGAAAAGGGTATGTTAGCATTTTTAGTTATCTAAAATATTCTCAAGCAGCACAAACCTCCTAAGGCTAGGACTCCCATTAGACTCCCCATGCACACTGGCCTCACCACGACCTGTGGGCAGAGGCTGTCCACCCGGGGTAGTTGTGTCACATCTAGATGCCATCTCTTACTCACAGCAACTTCCTAACCATCTCCTGTCCACACCATCTTCCTTGAGGACCAATCTTCCTTTAGCCACAGTAATCACTCCTCTAAGAGAGTGCAAAAAAACAGCCATTTGCTTCTTAGGCACATACTGCCACCCAGTGGCCCATACTTGGAAGGACACTAAGATCTCACACAAGATGCCTCAAAATATCCCCCAGGAGACTGAAAGTGAATTCAGGATGGTTTACAATCTTAACTAGTTTTATCAAAAACCAAACAATTCAAAATTAAGACTCATATTTACCTTAAAATACTCCAGTAGTCCCCGGCAGGTGACTTTTGAGCCATTGATCTCCTTTTCCATTAACTTAGATGGGTTTAGTACATATGGTATCAGTACCTGCAACTGCTCTTTGAATTCACCAGCAATATCTGTTTATAGAATGAAGAGGAAACAAGAAGTCAAACAGTCTTATCCAACCAAGGTCAGCATAAAAATCAATCCTTACAGTATATATAATTATAACATTTGCTAGTTGAAAGTAGAGGCAGGGAAGTGGGTAGTGCTAGACTATGTTTGGTGCTTTCTAGCTCTGACCAGGTTGCTGATAGGTCTCTGTCCTGGTGTACTTTTGTCTCCTTCCCTTTTATCATACAAAGTCATCTCTAATTTAAAAAAGAATGCATAGAATATATTATCCTATTTTTCATGCTGAGATATTTAATCTATTACCTAGTCTTTAAAGAAATTTCAATTTTGTTAGCTGGGCACTAGTGGCTCATACCTATAATCCTAATTACTCAGTACGCTGAGATCTGCAGATTTGCTGTTAGACCCAGCAAATCTACTAGATTCCAGTCTACTAGATTCCATCTCCTAAATAACCAGCAAAAAGTAGGGTTGGAGATATGGCTCAAGTGCTAAGAGTACCACTGAGCAAGCAAGAAAAGTGAATGCACTACTGGTGCTGGGAAAACTGAGCGGCCATATGCAGAAAACTAAAAGTGGATCCCAGCCTGTCACTATGCACTAACATCAACTCAAAATGGATTAAAGATATTAACATCAAACTTGAATCTCTGAAACTACTGCAGGACACAGTAGGAGAGACACTTGAACTTATAGACACAGGCAGGAACTTCCTGAACAGAGTCCCAGGGTCACAACAAAATGGGGAGAGAATCGACAAATGGGAACTACCTTGATTGCTAAAGTCATAGCAATCAAGCTAGAAAGACAACCAACTAACTGGGAAAAAATATTTACCAGCAATATATCAGACAAGAGGTTAATATCCAGTATATACAGAGAACTCAAGAAACTATTTGCTCCCAAACCCAACAAACCAATTACTAAATGGGCAAGGGAACTAAAGAGAGACTTCTCAAAAGAAGAGATAAAAATGACAAAGAAACATGAACTGTTCACCATCCCTGGTTGTAAAGGAAATGCACATAAAGACAATCCTGAGTTAGCACCTTACCCCAGTCAGAATGGCCTACATCCTAAAGTCAGCCATTGACAAATGCTGGAGGGGATGCCGAGAAAGACCCTATTACACTGCTGGTGGGAATGTATACTTATACAACCACTTTGGAAAGCAGTCTGGAGGGTCCTCAGAAAGCTAAATAATGACCTCCCCTATGACCTAGCCACACCACTCCTAGAAATCTATCCTGAACAACAGGAACCCGTATACAAGGACACATGCACTTCCATGGTTATTGCAGCACTTGTTCACAATAGCCAGGATATGAAAACAACCCAGATGCCCCACCACAGGTGAATGGATCCAAAAACTGTGGTATCTATACACAATGGAATATTATGCAGCCATTAGAAAGGACAAAATAATGGCATTTGCAGGGAAATGGATGGAACTAGAAGAAATGTTGAGTGAGGTAAGCCAAGAGCAAAGAGACAAACGGCACATGGTCTCCCTGATAAGTGGATGTTAAATCCAAAACATAAGGTGATACGACAAAGTTAACAAGACTTGAGAAACAAAGGGCCTCCAATCCAACTGGTTGAATCACTACTAAATACCCCATGCTGCTGATCACATATATGATATATATGTGCACACCATGAGGAAACTAGGAGGAGGATACAGAACCAGAGGGAATCAGGGAAAAACATACAACAGTGGGACCCATCAGCTGCATGTACATATCACCCGACTTGGAAGAAATAAAATGTATTGTCAAGCTCATAGAACTCATAAACTTTATAGGCAATTTGCCCCATGAAAGTTAGAATGTTTGTGACTTTAACTAAGCATATCCCACAATATTGTGAAATTCATGAAATTATGTAATCAATCACAATAAAGAATTTGGGGGGGAAAAAGAAAGAAAGGAAGGAAGGAAGGAAGAAAGAAAAAAAGGAAGGAAAAAAGAAAGGAAGGAAGGAAGGAAAAAAGAAAGAAAGAAAGAAAGAAAGAGAGAGAGAGAGAGAAAAGTGAATGCCAGGTCCTAAGTTCAAACCCCAGGAGCACCACCAAGAAAAAAGACAATTCAATGAAATTTTGGGGGATAGAATTGGTTTTGTTGGGGAAGGATTTGTTGCTGTTGACTTGTTTCTTTGTTGCTTTGTTACCAAGTCTCACTATGTAGTCCAGGCTGTCCTTGAACTTCTAAGTCTCCTATCTGTGTATTTCAAGGAAATTTCACTTTTTAGAGAATGTCATTAACAAGATGTTCAGAACTAACAATGTCATAAGACTTGGCAAGACTCTCACCCCATCCTTTCAATCAACTGGAAAACACCATTCATTTGCTTTTTTGTTTTTGTTTTTGCTGGTTCTGGGGCTTGAACTGAGGGTCTGGACTTTGTTCCTGAGTCTCTCAAGGACAGTACTTCACCATGTGAGCTATAACACCACCTCCAGCTTTTTCTGAGTTGTTTATTGGGGTAAGAGTCTCATGAGAGGGGTAATGGGGGTACGATGAGAAGGGATGGTAAGGGGAAACAAAGGAGGAGGCAACAATGGTTGGTAAGAAATGTATTCATTACCTTGCCCATGTAATTCTAACCCCTCTGTACAGTATTTTCACAACAAAAAAAGAAAATTAAAAAAAAAAAGTCTCATGAACTTTCCTGCCTGGGTGGCTTTGAACCATGAGCTCCACTTCCACTTTTCTGGTGGTTAGTTAAAGATAAGAAACTCAGGGACTTTCCTGCCTAGGCTGACTTTGAACCACAATCCTCAGATCTCAGGATTACAGGTGTGAGCCACCCAGCTTGCTTTTTTTTCGCCGGTCATGGGGCTTGAACTCTCGGCTTGGGTACTGTCCTTCAGCTCTTCAGCTCAAGGTGAGCGCTCTACCACTTGAGCCACAGTGCCACTTCCAGTTTCCTAGTCGTTTATTGGAGATAAGAGTCTCACGGAGGGCTGGGAAGGTGGCTCAGTGGTAGAGTGCTTGCCTTGCATGCATGAGGCCCTGGGTTTGATTCCTCAGCACCACATAAGCAGAAAGGCCAGAAGTGGCGCTGTGGCTCAAGTGGTAGAGCACTAGCCTTGAGCTGAAGAGCTGAGGGACAGTGCCCAGGCCAGACTCTCCCCCCCCCTCCCCCCCCCCCCCCCCCCCCCCCCAAAAAAAAGAGTCTCATGGACTTTCCTGCCTGGGCTGGCTTTGAGTCTTGATCCTCAGATCTCAGCCTCCTGAGTAGGTCGGGTTACAGGCGTGAGCCACCAGCACCTAGCTTTGCTTTTTTTTTTTTTCACTAATAGTTGAATGTTAAGAGTAGAGGAACATGTTCCCTAGTGGTATTTATTTCTTGGTAAATCCTCAAAGGCCTCAAGATGAAGATGAAGATGACAGAAAAAGTGACAGGGTCTAAGCAGGTTCCACAAGAGTTTGAGAGAACCACTATGTAAGAGCTCTTTCCTCAAAGTAAGAATAAGCAGGTCCAACACAGAAGAACTAAAATACCTGAAAGCAGATTTCTGTATCATCTAACATCTTCCTGGAAAAGTTCTTACTCCTATCAAAGTAAAACTCCTTACACTCCACAAACCTACTTGCATATTAAAAAAAAAATAAACCCATGAAGTATTTTTTTTTGGGGGTAGCAGGAATGGGCTGGTTGGCTTTTTTTTTGATAGTGTAATAGAGATAAGCGTCTCAGGGGCTGGGAATGTGGCTTAGTGGTAGAGTGCTTGCCTAGCATGCATGAAGCTTGGGTTTGATTCCTCAGTACCACATAAACAGAAAAACCCAGAAGTGGCGTTGTGGCTCAAGTACTAAGAGTACTAGCCTTGAGCCAAAAAGAAGTTCAGGGACAGTGCCCCAGGACTGGCAAAAAAAAAAAAAAAAAGAATTTCATGAACCTTCCTGCCCATGCTGAGTTTGAACTGCAGTCCTCAGAATTTAGCCTCCTGAATAGCTAGCCTTATAGGCATGAGCCACCAGCAACCAGCTCATAAAATCTCAAAAAAAAAGTGGAATAAATTCTTTATAACTGTATACTAGAAAAGTATAAAATGGTATATACATAATATTCTGGTTCTATGGGCTGAGAAGATGGGTCAGTGGTAGAGTGCTTGCCTTGCATTCATGAGGAGCTGGGTTTGATCCCTCAGCACCACATAAGCAGAAAAAGCCAGAAGTGGTGCTGTGGCTCAAGCAGTATAGTGCTAGCCTTGAGTGAAGAGCTGAAAACAGGACCCACGCCCAGAGTTCAGGTCCCATGACCAACACACACACACACAAAGATTTCTGGTTCTATGAAAAAAAATATATATATATATATATATATTTCATTGCTTATATTAAAAGAAATTATGGGCTGGGAAGGTGGCTCAGTGGTAGAGCGCTTGCCTTGCATGCATGAGGCCCTGGGTTGGATTCCTCAGCACCACATAAACAAAAAGAAAAAACACAGAAGTGGCGCTGTGGCTCAAGTGATAGAGCGCTAGCCTTGAGCTGAAAAGCTGAGGGACAGCGCCCAGGCCCAGAGTTCAGGCCCATAACTGGACCAAAAAAAAAAAAAAAAGAAATTGTGAAAGTTTACAAAAAGCAAGACTTTTCATTGAGTATCTTTTAATCCCTCTAGGGACTTTAAACATAGGAATGTATTGCTTGTTTGAATTTTTTATAGTTTCATCTTTCATCACACTGAAAGACTGTTTCAAAAATCTGTACAGTCAGTTAAACAGTGCCTACCTCTCCAAATGTATATCCATATGGAGACTCAGATTGTGACCTTATTTGGAAAAAGTCCCTGCAAATGTAATTAGCTAAAGTGAGGTCTTATTGGATTAGAGTGGCCTTACATCCAAAGCCTAGTGAGCTGACTCCATGAAGGGAAAAGACAGAGAACTACACCACAATGAATCAAGATTGGAGTGAAGCCATAAGCAAAAATGCAAAGGACTGCCAGCAACTACCAGAGCCTTGGAGGGAGGCATGATACTTGCTCTCACTCAGAGAACTAACCATGGCTTTGATTTCTTTTTTTTTTTCTTTTTTTTGGGTCCGGTTGTGGTGCCTGAACTCTGGGCCTGGGCACTGTCCCTGAGCTCTTCAGCTCAAGGCTAGTGCTCTACCACTTGAGCCACAGCGCCACTTCCGACTTTTTTCTTTTGCTTATGTGGTGCTGAGGAATCGAACCCAGGGCCTCATGTATGCAAGGCAAGCACTCTACCACTAAGCCACCTTCCCAGCCCCATGGCTTTGATTTCTGTCTCATGACCTGTGAGGGAATAATTTCCATTGTCTTGAGCCACCCAATTTGTGGTGACAGAATTGAAAAAAAAAAAAAAAAACTATTTCCTGAAAAAAAAAAAAGAACTGAATTTCCAAGCAGAATACTTTGAAATCATTAAAATACTTAAAAATAAGGGACTTGCCTTTTACCTGATAACCTAAGAGCATGAGGCAAGGACATGAAAAATCACTCTAATTCATTCTCTCCCAAACATCACCACTGAATGGGTTTGGTAAAGTATAGCTAACAATGGAGCATTATTAACACTCAAAGAACTTATTACCTATGCACATACACATGCAAATTCATACTCAACTTTCTCTCTTATGAAAAGCTGAAAATTCCCTCATGACTGTTTTTTTTTGGTCTGTCGTGGGGCTTGAACTCTGGGCCTGGGCGCTGTCCCTCAGCTCTTCAGATCAAGGCGAGCGCTCTACCACTTGAGCTACAGCGCCACTTCCGGTTTTCTGGTGGTTTATTGGAGATAGGAGTCTCAAGGTCTTTCCAGCCCGGGCTGGCTTTGAATTGCGATCCTATATCTCAGCCTCCTGAGTAGCTAGGATTACAGGCGTGAGCCACCAGTGCCAGGCTCTCATAACTGTTTTTTAGGTGAGAGATTCTAGCTCTACTATTTGCCAAAGCAGATTTCTCTCCCCAAATCAGGCCTCAGTCATGTATTTTTCAATCACCATAGATCAAGCTGGAAGTATCGTCCTCAAGAAAGCTGTCAACCACTTAGAGATATACAAGTGGCACAGAGAAGGTAAAGGTTCAGTCTTTCAAACTCCATTTATTCGGCAATACTGACACCAGTGAAAATATAAATCTTAAATTGGATAAGGAGTTTTATTGAATCAACAGAATCACAGTGAAAATGATATATTTCATATTTAATGAGGCTATGGAAAGCTTCCACTGTGAACAGCAAGATTCCCACTAACAAAACAGTTCACATCTTCTAAAAGACTTCCTCTAAACAACAAAGGAACATTTTAGCAGTATGGCTTTAGGGCACCAAAATCTAGATGTGAATCTCCACACTTTTAACTGAACACTTTGAGTGGGTTACTTAACCTTCCTCATTTTTGACAGTTTCCTCGTCTGTAAGATAAAGGAAATGATATCAACTTCATGGAGATTTCTGGGAACCTAGGTTTGAAAGCAGCTTGGACAACACTGGAACTCAGCTGGGTCTACAAAACTGGCAGCTATTTATTATCTCCATTCTATAGAGAACCTGAGAAACTCGGATAAGCTTATATACAAAGTGAAGCTTAACATACATACCCAGGATCAGCCATCTAATAACTCAAGGAGGAGGAACAAAAATACGATATGGAACCTAAGAGTCCTAGCTGATTGGTCCCTCCAAATTGAACCATGCTCTCAGCACTTCCTGACAGTAACACATGATCCAGCACCAGGTCTGCTACAATCTCACATAAGGTGGAAAGAACAGCTAGGCCATACCTCATGGAACCGCTAATTTTACTTGATAAATAGTAGCTAGTTTAGGTTTGGTCTTCCTTTATTTAACAGTTTTATTCTTGTAAACCAATAACTATAAAATCCCTCTCAAAGATTACGTTGCCTGTTACACATTTTTAGATGGAGAAACAGGTAAGCTAGCTGGTCACAGCAAGTCAGAGAAAAATTTAAACAAGAAACTATATTATTCTAACAGAATACAACTTCTCTTAAGCATTCATTTGATTCATAATTGATATTTACTGGTCATTATTTAATTTCAAAGATCAACCACATATAGGGTAACAACATATGGGACACACCTTTCAATTTCCCATTAAACTCAGGGCTTGTGGCCACCTGGAGTCCTGGATGTGGTAAGAGAAAACAGGTGACATCCGAGAAACATGAGTGAATATGATTTCGAACATTCTGAATTTCTTCATGTTGATGTTCCTTGACCTGCCAACGAAGACCAACATTTTACCAACCAAACACTATTTGGTTTTCTTTGCCAGAAATCACTACTATGAGGACAAAAGAAAAACCTTCCAACTCTGATGGGTCACAATGGCCAATGAGAAAACTCAGAACCTCAAGAAGCAATGAATGCGTAGTGTGACTAGCCATACTTAACTTCCATAGCTAAAATGCACAGGTATTAAAGAATTTGTTTAAATGTGTATTGCATAATGTTTAAGAACAAGAGAAGGTTTGTGGGCTGGAAGGAAAATATACCCAGTGAGTAGTGACTAACAAAGGACTCTTATGTGAGGCCATATAAACGGGCCTAACCTGTTTATATTCATGCCAAAGAAAGCAAATGAGATTACTGAATAGGAACAGAACTAAAATTCTGAACTTTTCTAAAGGCACACATAGAACCTGGCTTAAAAATGTGAAATGAAAATTATAATCACACTTGGGCTTTACCCAGAATTCTTCTCTGAAGTCCCAGTATTTTACATTTCCAGGTTTTTGTTTGCTTTTGTTGGTTGTGGGACTTGATCTCTGGGCCTATGCACTATCCCTGAGCTCTTCAGCTCAAGGCAAGTAGTCTACTATTTGAGCCACAACACCACTTCTGGTTTTTTTGTGGTTAACTGGAGATATGAGTCTTATGGCCTTTCATACTTGGGCTGGCTTTGAACCACAATCCTCAGATCTCAGCCTCTTGAGTAGCTAGGATTACAGGCGTGAGCCACTGGTGCCCGGCTCCAGGTTTTTAAATTTTGAAATAATAATATTGTAAGTTTATGCTTAAGATTCCTACAAGTTGGGGGGGAGGGAGGCTGGGAAGTGATGTGAAGGGTAAACAAAGGAGGAGGCTGCAATGTTTGGTAAGAAATGTACGCATTATCCTGCCCATGCAATTGTAACCCCTCTGTACAGTATGTTCACAAATAAAATAAAATTAAATTAAAAAAATAAAAAAAATAAAAAGATTCCTACAAGTTTAATATACTGAGTGTCATCGTCAATAATCTGCCTTAAATTCTATAACCAAAGGCAAATGAGTACTACTTTTGGAAAATTCCTCAGGATTATTTTCCCACTTACCTGTAAACGTTTCTCCAAAAATGCCATTCCTCCTTGTAGTCCATAGTTATATTCATAAGGGAAACTCCAGTCTCGAATTAGAAACATCAGTGTCTATTTCAGCAAAAAGTAGGACATAATACAGCATAAACACATTTAAAGGTAATAAAAATTGAAATTCTTCTTTGCATAATGCCAATTTCTTTAAAGGAGGCAAACACATGTGATGAAGGACTTACCTATACCACCATGTCTTAGAAACTTTATAAAAAACTCTATGGATGTGTTTAAGTCCAAGATGAGGTCAATAGGCCCACCTGCTACTTGTGGGAATGAATCCCACAAGTTAACAGGAATAGAACAGATTGTTTAGAAAAAAAATTCAAGGGGATGGGTGAGGTTGGGAGAGGTGGAGGAGGACAATGGAAGGGTGATATTACACTCATAAGCAGGTATGTTGAATTAGAAATCCCTTTGTACAACTAAAGATAATATTTAATTTAAATTTTTTAAGTATATTAAAAACAGGGTTCTACCCTAAAAACAAGCAGGAGCAATGTAGTAAAGGACACGAGAGAAAACATGATACTGTCAAACCGTAAAATCACATCTGTTGCCAGGATTATGACTGTAATCCTAGCTACTCAGGAGGCTGAGATCTGAGGATCGAGGTTCAAAGCCAGCCCGGGCAGGAAAATCCATGAAACTCTTTTTTTGGGGGGGTCAGGTCGTGAGGCCTGAACTCTGGGCCTGGGCGCTGTCCCTCAGCTCTTTAAAAGGGAGGATGGGGGATAATGCTCATTGGCTGGGAGAATGGCTCAACTGACTCAAGGCTATGAGTTCAAAAACCTAGGATTCCCCCCCCCCAAAAAAAAAGTTCACATATTAAGACACCTATAGCTTTACTGAAATCACTATGCTTTTCATCTTCAAGAAATAAGTAAAGCATGGGCCAGTATATATTTTCTGTACTGGACTAGAGAATAAGAGTTTAAACAGTTCTTCAACTCTGTTGCTGTAGTACAAAGGAAGCCATGGAGCTACATAACTGTATAGCTGGCTGAATAAATGGCTGTATAACTCAGACTTGCCTAGCATGTTTGAGGCCCCTGGCTTGATTCCTAGTTCTGCATAAAGAAAAGAAAGGGAAAAGAGAGGGAAAAAATAGAGCTGGGCATGACAACACATACCTGTAATCCTCAAGGTCAGCCTGGGCTACATACATAGCAAGATCCTGTCTTTTTTTTTTTTTAATTCAAAGTTATTTATTTCTCGGAAGCACTCTACCACATATATAATATTTTTGTTTGCTTGTTTATGCAGTACTGAAGAATTGAACCCAGGGCCTCATACAAGGTAGGCAAGCACTCTGCCACTAAGTCACATTCCCAGCCCAAGATCCTGTCTTTAAAAAAAAAAAATCACAGGTCACTCACAGGTAACTCACACCTGTAATCCTAGCTATTCAGGAAGCTAAGGCTGAAATCTGAGGATCTAGCCCCAGCAGAAATATCTGTGAGACTCTTACCTCCAATTAACAACAAAAAAAA